TCCTCTGGGCGCGGGGCCGGGCCGGGACAGGCCCCGCCACTCCTCTCCTCTCCTGTCCTCGCTGGGCCGGGCCGCGCCGCGCTGCGCACGATTGCAACACTCGGGGTGGGCGAAGGTCTGAGCACCGCGGACCTTCTCGAAATTAGGCCACTAACAAAAATGGAAGTTGAAGAGTGTGATGTTGTGTCACTTTTGAATCAACTCCCGTAGTTTTATTTTGTTTTACGATGTTTTCGAACAAAAGATAAAGCGTAGTCACACTTAAAAAGGGGAGGGGATAATTCTGGGTAGGAAAATAGTTTGGTTGGATGTATCCTATTTCCAGCTGGCATTCAATTCGGACAGGTTGGGTTTTGTTTTTTTTTTAATGAAGAATTTTAATGTGAATTCGTGAATCTTTCATAGAGCCCAGTTTGAATATATGCCAAGGCACGGTATGGTAGTTTCTTAGTCCTATAAATCCTTTTTTGTTCGTTTGGTTTTTTTGCCTGCCTTAGGTCTTACGTAAATTTTTGTAGTCGTCAGAACTTAGGGGTCCGTCCTTTACTCAGAACATTGCCAAGTGAGTTGTGGAAGTCATACTGTAAATGAAATCATAACGTAAACGATTTTGGAAGAATGTAAAAAGAATGTTTAAAAATGTAGGCAAGAAGTCGATTGTGATTTTTTTCCATTACCTATTCTTTATATTTCACAGTGTAATGGGAATACAACTAACTTCATCCAAGAGAAAGTTGGTGGGGTCTTTTTCTAAGTACACATTTTCTTTTATCGAATGTTATTTCATTATTGTTTTAGGCCATTAAATGCTTTGATCCTGCATCACATGATCAGGGTCTAGAAAATTCCCAAGTGTTTTTTTTCTACTGCTGTAACTGAGTATTGAGATTTTTGTTGTTTTTAGGCTTAGTACCTAATTGTTTGAAACTGTTTACATATTTCAGTTTGTTTATTTAGTGTTCATTTCATTTATAAGTAATGCCACCAGCCTCTCCAGGTAAGTTGTGATTTATTTGCAGGGGCGGTATTTTGGGGGAGCGGGAGATCTTTACTCTGCTACTAAGTATAACTAATGATATGTTTAAATATATTCATAGCTTCCTAGCAGCTTCTTTCAGGTTTTTCTCTGTTCAGCATACTTTGGTGTGCAACACTTTCTGCTTTTTTATTGAACCCTAAATGTTTTTTTCTGCTCATTTAGTTGGATGTGGAGGAAAAAAACTGAAAATAAACTTTTTGTCTAATTAGTGATACATGAATATACAAATGTACATTTTTATACCTGCCTAGATTGCTGGGTTTTTACATTGAATTAAGTAGTTCATGTTATCCCTGTTATTATTTTTGTATTTACTCTGGGAAGCATATAATCCCCTGAGTCTTAGGTTTTAATGAAAATACTTGCATGAAGCTCGCTCTGGGAACTTAATGGTCTGTTTTGAACAACTTACTGGTAAAGAGTACTGAAGTTTAGAGAGTTTAAATAATGAGTCAAACTTTCTTTGCTTTTAAATTAAATACTCGGTGAAAGCTAATTTATAGCTTGCAAAGACCTGAAACGGAGAACTTTTTATTTTAACTTGGTTCTGTTTAGGTCTTGTGTGTGACCTCAGACGTTTTAAATACTTTTTCAGGCAGTGATGTCGGAGAGTAAATCAACATAAATTTCATTCAGTAGCATGTTAGTTTAGTAATTCCGCAAGCCAGGTGTTGAAGACCTGCAGCTGACAGGTAGTCTGACAGTGGACCTAACTTCGTTTTGATTGTGAGGCAGGCAGAGAGAAACAAAGGGCCGAATTCTTCAGAGTTCCGGGCCTTAGCTCCCTTGCAGGACAGCTGCTGTGCCTACAGCTGTGCATTGCATGTGGCGCCTTTCAGAATTCATCACGTTGCTGGGGGATCAGGGGGCGTGTTCTGGGCAGTACAAGCCCCGCTTCCTTTACGGAGTGGCCTCTTCTCGCTCTCTCTCTGTCTCTCTTATCATTCACTCATGCAGTTCATGTTTGTGAAGTCCCTGCCGTGTGCCAGGCACTCTGCTAGGTTGAGTAGTGCAGTGGTGAGCAGAAAAGCAGCAGTGCCTCTTCTCCTGTAACCTGGAGTCTGGTGGGGGAGGCCGACATTAAATCAGGAAGTTGCTTGATGGCTGGCACGGAATAGGCCCTAAATAAATGTTGGCTGATTGGCAAACAAAGACCCACACAAACCTTGTAACGAAGGAAGAGAACACAGTGCTGGGAGAACACAGTTCATATTGTCTCTGACCAGGGAGCATGCAGGTTTGCCATGGGCCAAAGATGTGCATACTTGAGGTGTTTGAAACGAGAATTTTGGATTCTCAGCTTTGTAATTCAGCCTAACTTCTTACATGTCTGAGCAACCCGTTATGAGATGGAGCATGAGAATTTCTTGGGACAGCAGGTAGAGAAGGAGGGAGGGTTTTTAGTGTCTGATGCTTCGGTTATTTTAATTTGCACCACAGGAAGATTGTGATCTTAGAAGTAACATAGAAAGGCCATAGTTAGAAGAATTTACCGTCTTCTCGATTTGTGTCCTGTTTGTTATTGTGAGAAATAAGAGATTGAATTTGCTGGTTAGCAGTAAATAATGATGGTTGGCAAAAGTTCTTTTAAGACACAGACTATAATAGCAAATTTGGTGTTGCCCTGCTGTCTCCTGGCCACAGAAGAGCCTTAGCTGAAGTTCTTTTACCCTCAAGAAACAATAGTGGCTCATACACAGGGGCTGAGTGGAAGGCATGTAAAACATGGGACTCCTGGGTTTCTACCAGGTGTGTGACTGGGGAAGTTACGTCACCTTTCTGGGGTACAGTTTCCATAGCTGTAAAAATGGGTGTTTTAACACGGAATGGTCTCTGTACTGCCTAGCTTCGTGGGGTTGCTGTCAAGAGCAAACCAGACAGTAGAAGAGTTAGCGCAGCGGGCGGGTCTGTTGTAACAGTAAGTGCCACTGACACCGTGCGGCTGAGAGTTCGTGTTTCTTGCAGAGGAAGGAATGAGTTTGTGACTCATTTAATCAGTCGGTATTTATGGGGGATTTCTCTAAGCCCAGAACAAGTGGTGGGCCTTGCCACTCTGCTTTCCCATGGCAGAGCCTCGCCCTGTGCCGATTCACCCTGGTTTTTGGCCTGCTTCTGATCTATTGACTTTTCCGTTCACAACAAACTAGAGAGAGGAATTATTTATAGCAGCAAATAGTTTTTATAGCTGATAGCTGGACAGTAAAGAAGGCCGTTTATGACAAAACTGGCAGCAGTGAATTGTGAAGAGTATGTACCTCCTTCAGGTTACTTGAGAGGTTTAGATAATCCTTCATAAAAACTGTAAGTAGTCCCTGAGAATGCCAACTAGTTTATAGAATCTGTTTAGGTGACTTGTAGTCATCACAGAATGGTGGAATTAGAATCAGCTTAAAGAGGAAATGTTTCATGTGTCTCTGTAACCAGAGTCATTCAAATAAGAAGTCTTGGTACTGTGAAGAACACCTCAGTTTTCTTTAGTTGCACACATGTGAAATGCTTTCTTCTCTAAAGGTGACAGAGCATATACACACTTGCAGTCAAGTTAGGGAGGTAAGAGATCCAGCTGCAAAATAATTTGGTCTGAGGCAGTTTAAGGGAAAGAAGTTAAGTGCTCCACGGCCGATACTACCAGGCTAGCCCGATCTGCGACTGCGACGGGCCCACATCTCTCTCAGCCTAACGCTGTGTGGAGAACCCATGTCACGGCGTCCCTGGAGCGCTCGCCCAGTCCCTCACTTCTTCACAGGCAACTTCAGGTGGAGCAACGAGGACTCCCGACGCCAAGAGAAGAAGGGAACTTGGCTGGGCCCACAGAAGGTGGAGAGGAGCCTTATGGGACTGTCAGAGAAAAGTAGCAGATGTCTGGAGGGTGTCCCCTCAGCCTTATGTGACAGGCATTTGCTGTGTCTGTGTCCCACGCTATGGTAGATGCTGAAGTTACAGCAGAGAACTAGAACGACCAAGGTTCCCGCTCTCATGGAATGTACGTTCTGGCCAGCCAACAGAGGAACAGTATGAGTTTTGGAATGTTACGTGTTTGTGTGTGTGTGAGAGAGAGAGAGAGAGAAAGAGAGTGTGCACACGTGCTGGTGGGGGGGGGGTGAGACATGGCGTGACTGTGGATGGGTGGCCAAGGATGGCCTTTCAGAGGCTATGACATGAATGACACAGGGGTGGGCCCCGTCAAGTTCAGCTCCAGGAAGAGTGACCGATTTTGGATGTTCTGTCAGCAGTTTGGGGGAATTTATTGCCCCGGTCGGGGTGGGGGTAATGGAAGGGCCACCTAGAAACCCATGCAAGTGTTTTTGCATCATGAAACTCCGTTCTCCAAGTGGACGTATGGGCCCCTTTTCTACCAGGCACTGCACTCGGTGGCTGGATTGGTAGGGAAGATTAGAGAGAT